CTCCGCGGTGAAGGCCTTGAAGTCCACGAAGTGGACATCTGTCCGTCCCAGCAGCTGCCGCATGCCATCCATCCAAGACAAATCTCCTCGCATGTAAGCGTGACACGTCTGCACATCCTCTTGCCAGTTCTTGCTCGTAAGTTGGATGCAAAGGACGGTTGACACCCGATGGCCTTAGGTTGAATAGCAAAGAAACGCCACACTCTCAATCAAAAACAATGAACAGCTGCATTGAAATACATCAGCAGCACTCTCAATCAAGACAAGTATTTCAAGCCAAGTTGAAATCAAAATGCCATACAAGGTAAGACAGCAGACAATTGTACGGTGCCATCCGGCTGCGCAGGAGATCCTGCAGGACATATGTGAATAGTTGACTATGTCACATGTCAGGAATGCAGGAAAACGCGTTTTTTTTTTACGCGAACGCATCCCCGCAAACATGCGCAAGAAGCACTCTCTCTCGTTGGGGTTGAAAAAATGCTTCCACATTGCTCCGAAGGTTTCACGGTAGTTACAGTGTTTTTTGCACATCACACATCCCAAAGGCTGCAGGCAACATGGCACCAAAAATTCAAAAATTGAGCTCCCATGCAGGACAAATGGCCTTAGACAAACCCAACATAGCCCTCCAAGACCTCAAAATAAAAAAGCCCCCGCATCGCGTCAACGCACATCTTCCTTTAGGTCTTTATGTTGATGCCAAAAAGAACGTTCTAGTTCTAGCACACTTGGCTCGAAATAGCCGCATATGGCCTTATAGCCCTCCAAGATCTCAACATAGCCCTCCAAGTGGCCCAATACGCCTGCACATGACCCCAGATAGGCCCAACCTAGCCTTGAAATGACCCAACATGGCCACTTGGGCCAAGATAAGGCCAACATATAGCCCTCCAACTGACCCGAAGTGGCCCCAATATAAGCCCAACAAAATCGTAAATTGCCAAACAAAACCCCCAACTTGACCCTGACATGACGCAGGATAGGCCCAAAGTACACCCCAAATGAATCTTAATAACGTTACTCTCCCGTTGGGGTTGAAAAAATGCTCCTACATTGCTCCGAAGGCAATTTTTTCACGGTATTTACAGTGTTTTTTGCACATCACACATCCCAAAGGCTGCATGCAACATAGCACCAAAAATTCAAAAATTGAGCTCCCATGCAGGAAAAACGCGTTCTTTTTACGCGAACGCATCCCCGCAAACATGCGCAAGAAGCAATTTTTCCTGTAATTTACAGTGTTTTTTTCCACATTTCCAACACCGATTTTGACCCCCAAAAGTCTACAAATCACCGTGCCCCCCCCACCCCCCCCCATGGCTACCGCAGAAAAAACGTCTCAGCGTTTCCAACGCTTTCTGTCATCAAGCCAGTCAAGTCCCTTTTTCCAAAATCCAATATGGGCAATGTGGAAGACCTGCAAGATATCCCGAATCTGAGTACTGAAGACATCGACCATTTCCAAGTGAAGCTGGGCAGTGTATGGCGACACCATTGGGTTCACCCTGTGGTCACCATCTGGTTCTAAATTTTGAAACACATGGAATTAGATATTAGTATAATTATTGTAATTATTATTATTATTATTATAATTATTATATATTATATCAATAATATTGTAATACATTTTCCCATGTTCCCATGTGAACCACATATTTCCATAGTCGCAGTCACTGTCCTGGATGGGCTCGACGGAGTGCCCCCAGCCGGCGGCCACAACTTCGAGACCGGCGGCTTTGGCCATCTTCACCTCGTGGTGGACGCTTCAACACGTGGCAACATGGCACCTGAATGGTGGATATTGACACTAGGGCAATCTGAACATTTCATCACATTTCAATATATTATATGATTATAGATTTAATGAACATGTTGGACTTTATACCAACACGAAATGTGGAGAGTCATCTTTAACCAAGCTGAGGATTCAGGAAGGTTGAATAGGTTGAATTGAAGGATTCAACTTTAACCCTCTCTAACCAATGGTGGACATTGAACAACCACACGGGAATCTAACTATTCCAATTTCAACCGAAAATGGAGGCACAGCAACCAAGATGTGCAAAACCAAGCACTGAGCAAAATTATGTAAAGTTGGGATGTAGACAACCGAAGTGATGGATGCCACGAACAAAAAGAAGTCATCTTCAATCACTTCAAGCAACAAACTACCGTGGTTTAAAAAACATGAATGGGTAGAATGGGGACAGAAAAAATGATTCGGGTCTCTTCAATTTCATTCTGTTTACCATCAGTTGTCTCCACTCTCTTTACCATTCAGAGTTCAGGTTGCCCCATATTGGATATCCATGGATATCCCCAAAGTCCAAGAGATCTCATCCATTGAACTCTTGGCCGCCCTGCTCCTGGGGACAAATCATCCACCACTAAAGCCTGTCAACAAAACGCAATGGAGGAACATATCTCTACTCTTTGGTGAACTACCTTCCCCAATGCCATTTGGGATCATCCAAAACATGCTTCAAAATTGCTATGTGAAACCATCACGCTTTAAATCCCAAAAGGGAAAGCTGTAGCATAAACTTCATTTGCAGTGATAAGGGTGCAATGGCAAGGTGGGAGGGTGACGGAACACAATGCAGACAACGCATCTGAATCTGGATTCACTCCCAACATATCGCGAAGGCACAGTGAGCCACGCTTGGGAACAGTATTGGAACAGTGCGGGCCTCTGTTGGTTTTGCACCAAAGTATTCCAGCCTCAGGAACAAATCCAAACAAATCAAGAGTTGCTGGCATGTCACCGGCTTCACCAAAGGTGAGTTGGACAGTCGAAAGTCTCCATCCAATTTGCAGCGTTCCAATTGCAGCATGCACAGCAGGTCCAGTTTCAAGTGGTGTTTATCATCCAATATCATTCTGTGAGGCTCATATCCATTAGCCGAAAGTATCTATCATTTCGTCGGTTTTCCCCGTGTAGACATCCCAAATGCTACTTCCCTGGCTACTTTCCTTACTTACCTCCAACTCAGCTGAGGCACGCATGCAACGCCGGCCAGGGCCTCGGATGAAAATCGACTTCACCACGATCTCTACAATGACTCTACAAGATATTCAAGATATTCATACAAGGAACTGCTATAGATCTAAATCTCTGTGAGAATCTCACAAGATCCTGATAGAAGGACCTTCTAGAGATCTAAAGACAGGGGTGTCAACAGAAAGTCTTAAGAGAAACTGCAGTCAAAGAGAATGAGATGTCAAGACTTAGAGCTGGAAAGAAGAGATGTCAAGAGAAAGGACCCTCAAGAGAAAGGAATCAAGCAAAACTGGGGCGAAACGAAAGATATTTCAACAGAAAGAGATCTCAAGAAATGAGAGATGTCAAGATTCAAAGCTTTCAAGAGGAAGACATGTCAAGAGAAAGGGGCCTCAAGAAAAACACATGTCAAGAACAAGGGCAAAGAGAAAGAACTGTCAAGAGAAAGTGGTGTCAAGAAAAGGAGACCTCAAGAAAGAGAATTGTGAAGAGAAACAAGTGCCAAGGCTGCCAAGCGTTGTCAATCGGAAGAGGCGCCAAGAGAATGGGATTTCAAGATTCGGAGCCAAGAAAAACGGCACATCAAACAAGGTCAAGCGAAGATGTCAAGGGAAAAATGGACAGCAAAGAGATGCAAGTTCCGTCGAGGTTCGCAGGCTTTCGTCGGCTCGCATCCTGCAATGGCAGAAAGATTCTGCAAAGAAATGATTGAATGATTGCAAACAGGTTGCACAGTTTGTTTCCACCAAATCAAGATGCTCGACAGATGATGCGAGTTTATTGTCTTTTTATTGTACTTCACCCAAATCCGTGAAGTCAAAGCCATCGCTGTTCATCATGTCGCTCCTGATCCCATCCGAGCACCAAATCGGGTTGAATCTGCTCAGCCCAGGGGTGGGCCGAATAGTGGCGCTGGATGACCTCTGCTGGGCTGTGCGACACCACCGCCACACCTCAGCATACGACGTTACGACTACGAAACACTACGAAACATGGCCATAGGATGAGACAATTCTCCCGGTTTTTCGTTTTTTCTCATTGTCAAACTCTTGTCAAACTATTGTCAAACACCCGTGTAAGCCATCATGATCCATGATGTAATTGATGTACCTGGAATGCCAAAAAATGGATGTGTGGCCATCCTTTCATCAATTGGAGGGAAGGACAAGCGAAAAGTGGGATTTTTACATATCCTGTCTACAATGGAGATTTTGCCAAAACAAACGGAAAGGTAAGCACATAGAAATAGATAGAAATAGAGGAAGTTCATGGAAGTTCCTCATGGGTTTGTTGCCAGGCAGCATCCGCCCCGTGCGCGAAATTCACTCAGCAGCCTGAGATCGAGTCTGTCTGCACACCAAGCAAGGTTGAACATTCCATGTCAAGATGTGAGGTAATTATTTTCACATTTTCCAGCTTTATTTCCACTTTACGAATTTTGAAACATGTAGAAATATGTCGAAACCAACTTTACGTGACCCAATCAGGAGAGCCCATGTGAGGCCCTGAAGCACCAAGTTGAAGATGGTGCTTGCACAGTGCTTCATAGGGCGCTTCGACAGATCCACATTTACAGCCGACAGTACGATGATCACCGGTGAGGTCTCAGGAGTGCTCGGATAACGATCTTGGCCAAGGAACTCTGCAATGCCTCACAGCGAAACATCGCCCTACGAAACATCGAAACATCGAAACGTCACTCTCCCTGGTACTCTACCTCTGAAAGTGTGAAACATGTGAAACCTGTGAAAGCCCCCGGCGTCCCACACCGTGCGAAACGGCAACACGACAACACAATTCGATAAAGCTCTACAAAATCATCACTATATTATTCTATTCATATTCATAAATTATCGGAATGTCCTCATTCCCAACCGAAGTTATGTCGCTCCGTCTCGCCTTCGTAGAAGGTCGGAACTTTGTCCTCCATGGCTTTGGTCCAAATCCTCTGCTCCTCTTCCATCAGCTCCGGCGTAAAGAGGGACTTCAAGTAGCACGATACCTAGGTAAGACAGGTAAGATACCTATAGCTATCCCCTAGGTATCCCCTGGGTATCCCCTAGGTATCCACGGTAATCCATAGGATACTCCATGGTACTCCCTACCCGGCCCCACGTCGACGAAGTGATTGGGGTACCTGTTTGGGCCCACAAGATAGGTACGGTAACGTTACTGCCGTTACTGTACCGTTCGGTTCCGAATGGCCAAGCTTAGGAAATTTAGTAATGTCCAAGGTCCCCCCCAGTTTGGTGGTTCAGATTTCAGAAGTTCGAAGGGCCAAGTTATACTTGGCCAGTACGGCCACTGTCTGGTAGCTTAGCTGTTTTTGGGCCAACAATTTGGCAGACTGATTTCCAGTGGATGATTCGCCCTCAATCCAAAAATACGACCCGGTCTTGAGTTTATATCGCCAATAGTGGGACAGCACTTGATTTTTTACGGACTCAGGATGGGGATGCAGCAAGTGCGTCACCAATGATGCCATCAATGCCACCATCAGGCAATAAATCTAGACAAACATTGGGATCCACACAACAAAAAAGAAAGAACTGTCAGGGTGTTCAAATGTTAAATCTCTCCATATTTGATGCGCAGATTTTTGTGAGTTAAAAAACAGTCCCATCCGGTGGTTGAATGACCCAGATCTTTCGCGCAAAGCTGCTCCAGGTTCGTGGTTTTTCTGAAACCAACCTGTTGGATTTGCGGTAGAAAGGGGCAAAGAACTAAAACACAGAGTCCCCACCAAAAAATCTCCATTTCTGGCAGATTAACCATTGTGAAAGCAAAAAATAACAATCTATTTCCGGCAAAATTCAACATGTCACAAGAACATCGACACATCATTCAAAAAATCACTCAAAATCAGCAGATTTTTTTTCCAGGTGACCCTCCAAAGAGACGGGTTCCAACTCGGGGCGTAGCACTCTGACACTTTCCACGTGGGCGGGATAGTGAACCTCCTCAGTGCCCCTCACCGTGGTATCGTCCTTAGCAATGGCTCCGGTTGAGCAACTCAGCCATAGAATATCCATAGTTGATCAACTTATAACGTAACATATATATATATTTATTTATATGCATATCATGTATGTATCCATAGTTCACTCATGTTAATTTGGGAACTACAAGAGTTGCTTGGCGTTGGTTGTGTGTTACAAAATTGTGTTGGCCAAAATACCATAAAATTTGCAATTTTGCTTCGGAGAATCGTCTGATCATTTGGAAACATGTTTCTTTTTTTGTACTTTATTTTGAGATATTATACCCATACAGGGATTAATGTTGGCAATTTCTGAAACCTTTTCACTGTTGGCAGAAAATCCACGCGACAAGATGCATGATCCAAAAGCAGCACTCGAAAGCGAAGACGTGGAGAGAGGCCTGGAAAGGGAGATGCTGTACTCCTGGGCAAAAGATTCAAACAACAAGAAGGTCACCGGAAAAACCACGAACCAACGATAACAAATGTAATAGTGCACTTGGGAGCAACATGTTCTCAACGTGCTTTCATCGGACAGGTCAATTTTCGCAACAAATGAGTGATATGTATGATATGATAGCTTGCATCACGGGCTTCTGAACCATGTGAGTGAAAAAATCAATGGGTGTTGTAGCTACATATGTAAAACAACTGCACGGTGGGTCTCTAAAGAGAAAGGCATCCTGTCACCACGGGCCATTTCGCGAATCCGATTGTTGCAAGATGGAATTCTCCAACATCATCCTACACATTTAATGTCCAATGTCCACCCAATACCCATCCAATTTCCATCAACCTCTTTGATCAGTGAAAGGACAGTAGCGCCTTCGCTGAGAGCTGTTGGGCTAATGTCAGGCCTCAATGAAAAAATCTTGCACCACGCATGCAAAATGCAGGGAAAAACCTGCTCCATAGGAAAATTACAAACCAACTTCTATCAGCTTCCAGCAACTTTTGCATGATCGTCATTAATATGATCATCTCATCACATCTCATCACTATCATCTCATTCATTTCTGGTAATTTTACTGGATTTAACTCGGTAAAGTATGTTTAATTGCAGTATATTTGTAGTATGTTTAGCCATGGAACATGGAACTATATTAACCACAAACATATTATTATCAATTGTATGATGTTTTAAACGATTTTAAATCTGTTTAAGTGTTTAACTTCGTTAAACAAAATGCTCAACAATCATTGTAAGATCATGTAAGGCTTATGACAAACATGGTAAAATTATGTTAAACACCGTGTAAATCATTATGTAAGTAACTGTGTGAAACTATGTATATCAGATGGCATATACAGTATATATATATAGTTATGTTATATGTACATAACATGGTATGCATATCAAATATCACATTACCATGGATATATTATATATATATGTATACTGTATATATATATATATTGGATGATATCTCCTGGATATCGTGGTGCCTGGGCGTCCCGGACGTCGTGGTGGCCTCCGTGGCCTCCGTGGCCGCCGCTTCCTCCATGAGGCGCTCGCGGCGCTCTTCGTGGCGCCGGGCCTCCTCCAGGCGCCGCGCCTCGAGGGTACAGAGGTGACAACGAAAATAGCTATTGAATAGCTATTGAAAATGGTGATTTTCCAATTGAAAATGGTGATTTAATGGGATTTTACTGGGAAATAAAGGGATATTAATGGGATATACCCTCTGGTTATGTCAAAATAGCTATGGAAAATTGCCATTTAGTTCGTGGATTTTCCCATTAATAGCATGGTGATTTTCCAGTTCGCTATCTTAAATTACCAGAGGGTATTTTCAAAATGGGATAAGCAATGGATAAGTAGGCTTAATCCACTGAAATCACTGGGTTATAATCTACTAACTGGGGTAATAATCAGTGATAAGTAGGCTTAATCCACTAACTGGGGTGATAACCCACTTAATCAGTGGGATGAGCCACCAAGTATAAAATGGGTATGGTGAAAAAATGGGTTTCCAAATATGGTACCCCTTTGAAAGTTAGCGACAGTGATAGCCTAACGATAATCTGCTCATATCTGCTCCCAAGGTTTTGGAACAATACGCATCCTGATAAACAAACCAAAGAGGCCCTAGAGCCTTTGAAAAGGTTTGTTGTTGAGGTTTGAAACTAAGCGCTTCTGCGTCTGTTGCGAGTTTTCCGGTTTGAAAGGTTTGTTTCTGGATTTACTCTTACATTCAAGGCATGCCAGTTTTGGCAAGACATTGATTGTTCACTCTGCAGCGATTGTGCTGAAAATTGCACAGAAACGTTGCAGATGTCCGCAAAACATAGCATTTTGATCGTCATCTTACATATATACATCAGTATCACCAAAATAAAATCACCAAATCAAATAAAACATAATAAAACATAATATTTGTCTTTCTATTCTTTACAGATCTTGAAACAAGAATGATATTCATGATATTCATTGTAAATCATCATATATTCACCATATATTCATCGTGAAGTCATCGTATATTCATGATACTCATCGTACATTCATCTTATATTCATGGTACCCATTGTATAATCATGATACTCATCCTATATTCATGCTACTCTCATCGTATATTCATCGCATATTCATCGTATATTCATCAAATATTCATGATACTCACCGTGCATTCATCGTAAATTCATGATACCCATCGCAAAATTATCAAATATTCATGATACTCATCGTACATTCATCTTATATTCATGGTACCCATCGTATAATCATGATGCTCATCCTAAATTCATGCTACTCTCATCGTATATTCATCGCATATTCATCGTATATTCATCAAATATTCATGATACTCACCGTGCATTCATCGTAAATTCATGATACCCATCGCAAAATTATCAAATATTCATGATACTCATCGTATATTCATCGTATATTCATGATATACTCATCGTATAGCCATCGTATATTCATGTGATATACCCATCGTATATTCAATATTCATGATATTCATTGTAAATCATCGTATATTCATCGTATAGTCATGATACTCATCGTAAAACCATCGTATACTATTCATGATACTCATCGTATAACCAGCGGTTGTTCATGGTATATTCGTGATATAGTCATCGTATATTCACCGCATATTCATGAAACTCATCGTATATTCATCCTACATGCATGATCCCCATTGTAAACTTATTCACCGTATATTCATGAAAAACTTCGTAAGTTCAATATTCATGAAACTCATCGTATACTCATCTTATATTCAAGATACTGTTCGTATCTTATTCTTTGCAAATCATGGAATATACCCATCGTATATTCATGAAAGTCATCGTATCATGGTACCCACTGTATATCTATTCATCGTATATTCATGATATTCATCCTATAGTCATCATATATTCATGATACTCATCGTAAATTCATCGTATATTCATGATATACTCATCGAATATTCAACGTATATTCATCGTATATCCGTCATACTCATCGTAATTTCATCGTATACTCATGATCCTGATCGTATATTCAATGCATATTCTTGGAATACTCATGGCATAATCATCGTATATTCATGGTATACTCATCAGATTTTCATCGTATATTCATGAAACTCATCGTACATTCAGCGTATTTTAATGCTGTTCATTGTATATTCACCGTATATTCATGATACTCATTGTAAAGTCATCGTATATTCATGATATACTCATCGAATATTCAACGTATATTCATCATACTCATCGTAATTTCATCGTATACTCATGATCCTGATCGTATCTTCAATGCATATTCTTGGAATACTCATGGCAAAAAATCGTATATTCATGGTATACTCATCAGATTTTCATCGTATATTCATGAAACTCATCGTACATTCAGCCTATATTCATGATAATTACTCATCGTATATTCATCGTATTTTATAATGCTGTTCATCGTATATTCACTGTATATTCATGATACTCACCGTATACTCATTGTATATATTCATGATACTCATCATATATTCATTGTCCATTCATGATACTCATCGTAAATTCACCGTATATTCATGATACTCATCGTAAATTCACCGTATATTCATGATACTCACCGTATATCCATTGTATATTCATGATACTAATCATATGTTCATTGTCCATTCATGATACTCTCGTAAATTCACCGTATATTCATGATACTCACCGTATATTCAATCCATTGTATATTCATTGTATATTCGTGATACTCATCATATGTTCATTGTCCATTCATGATACTCATCGTAAATTCACCGTATATTCATGATACTCACCGTATATTCATTGTATATTCATGATACTCATCATATGTTCATTGTCCATTCATGATACTCATCGTAAATTCACCGTATATTCATGGTACTCATCGTAAATTCACCGTATATTCATGGTACTCATCGTAAATTCACCGTATATTCATGGTACTCATCGTAAATTCACCGTATATTCATGGTACTCATCGTAAATTCACCGTATATTCATGGTACTCATCGTAAATTCACCGTATATTCATGGTACTCATCGTAAATTCACCGTACATTCATGATACTCACCGTATATTCATCGTATATTCATGATACTCATCGTATGTTCATTGTCCATTCATGATACTCATCGTAAATTCACCGTATATTCATGGTACTCATCGTAAATTCACCGTATATTCATGGTACTCATCGTAAATTCACCGTATATTCATGATACTCATCGTACATTCATCTTATATTCATGATGCTCATCGTATATTCATGATATACTCATCGGATATTCAACGTATATTCATCGTATATTCATCATACTCATCGTAATTTCATCGTATACTCATGATCCTAATCGTATATTCAATGCATATATTCTTGGAATACTCATGGCATAAACCTCGTATATTCATGGTATACTCACCGTATATTCATCGTATATTCATGATACTCATCATATATTCATTGTCCATTCATGGTACTCATCGTATATTACATTCGATATTTTGATTTTTGAAAAAGACACCGTTCTCCTTTCGTTCTTAGTTTCGGATCTCGGATTGTCCGGAGATCTCCGCCTCACTGCGCTGTGCCGCCTGGCGCAGCTGTGCCTGCGCTGCGGTGGCGAAGGCCGCCTGTGCCTGGAGAGAGCCATGGGTTTGTACAAGATATGGTTTGTGAACATCAAAATAGCTGGTAAATGGATGTTCATCCCATTAAACATGGTAATAGGTATTGATCCATACCCATATCTATGTCCAAATTTGTCCAAATTGGATATCTTGGTGGACATATTACACGTATGTGAAAAAATTAAAGTATTAAGGTGTGGAAAATTGTGGAAAGATAATATCAATTTGTGTTTTAAAGTTACATCCGCATCATCAAACCACTCGAATTCAATGATCTATCCCTTGCTGTTTATCTAGATGGGGATGCAACGGGATATAACCGGATATGGGACTTTTACCAGCTATAATAGGCTAAAATATACATGGGTTGGTGGTTTCATTCACGGGAACAATGGTGAACCAGTGGATTGGAGCCGCGTTCTTGGACCATGATGATCCTGATTTCATTGGAAAAATCCAAACAACGGAAATGGTATTTTTCGAACAGGAACTACGGTGTTTTCCTATGATTTTTAGTCTTGAATTAGTTCTGGGAGCAATGGGCTGCTGATGCAAATCAGCATGGCTTTGTTTCAAATCATTGGGGAACCCCCAAAATCTTACGGGTGCGAAAGAAATGTTCCATCATGTTTCCCATTTTTGAACATACCAACATGGAGACCTGGGAAATCTTTGCCAAAGACTTCTATTCATATCATTCAACATGGATAAAAACTGAGCAGATCGAAAAACTGCAATTGTGGTGAGAATGCAATGTAATCAAAATGCCATGTGTTGATGCCACTCATCCTTTAGACTCTACCTTCAGGAAGTATGAATTGAATTTGTTCCCAGTTGTGAACTTCAAGAGGATTTGGAGGTTTGCACTTTGCAGATTTTACAGATTTTTGACATCTCCGCTTTCTGGGGCTGTTCTTTCTGGGCGTTCCAGACCCGCAAGGTGGTTCCCACCAGGATGGCTAGAGACACGCCTGACCAAACAGGTGGACACAGGTGGACACAGTTCAGCATGTTGCTAGACTTGGCTGATAACTTGGAGGCTCCCAGAAGACAGAATGAACCCAGAATGACGATATCGATTGATTCGCTCATACATGTTTCGTAATTCCGATCCTTCGGATTTCCTTTTTTGTACAAATTGTTGGATCCGTGATTGTTGCATGCGGAATTTGTGGCACTGATTCAATGACCTAATGAATTCAAATGTCTGTTAATTGACGAATGTTGATTTTCAAAATTTTCTTCATATTGCCATCAGGGCGCAACACCTTGCTTATCCTCCTTCACACTTCTTTCAAAATCTTTCAAACCAATGCTGTCTCGCCTGCGATAACCAGCGCAGCCGCTGCTGCCAATGGCATAGCTCTTTGGGACCACTCCGGGAGGTGTTCGAAAAGAATGGAGATGTCCAGTGTGGCAATGGGTTAGTTCATCCAAGAATGGTTTTGAAACCAAAATAGCTGACAAATGATGTACGCGGATGTGTAAGCCCCACAAACGTGGTATGCTCCACAAACGTGGTATCAATGTAGTTTTTTTCCATCCATCCAATGTGCTCTGAAATTTCACTTCACCAGAAATACGAAAACATCTGAAAACCTCTGGAAACTGAAACACAGACTTAAACTGTAAATCTTGTTGGGTTGAGAGTTCGTCCAGGAAAATCAGCACACGAACTGTGGATTTTGAGGCATCGATCCCTGAAGGATTCTGGGAACGTAGTCTTCCAGTGGGGGCGGAAAGCGTGGCTGGTTGTGTCGTGCGCCGTCTGCGCCGTCTGCGCCGTGTGCGCCGTTTGCGTCTGCGCCGTCTGCGCCGTTTGCGCCGTCTGCGCCGTTTGCGCCGTCTGCGCCGTTTGCGCCGTTTGCGGATGGTGCGGATGGTGCGGATGGTGCAGATGGTGCGGATGGTGCGGATGGTGCGGATGGTGCGGATGGTGCGGGTGGTGCGGATGGTGCGGATGGTGCAGATGGTGCACGATGGTGCAGATGGTGTGGATGGTGCGGATGGTGCGGTGTGGTGGTGCGGATGGTGGAAATGGCGGTGGATGGTGATGGTGCGGATGGTGCGGATGGTGCGGATGGTGCGGATGGTGCGGATGGTGCGCGATGGTGCGCAAGGAAACAGCGCGCAAGGAAACAGCCGCGCTATGCGACCGCAATGTAGTCTTCCAAGTTTGGAAAAACCTGAAGTCTTTGCCGGTGATTTTTCACTGGCTTTCACCATGCTTTCACCCAATTGTTGGGCCTTGCAGTCTGGAAGCCAAGACATATTGCTCGGAGAAGTCTCAACACTTGTCACTGCACGTCAGCCACTCAGCAGTCTCTTTCAACCCCTTTGCACTTCTGATTGGTGGTTTCAACGCACGCAAAAAAACATGCATGTGAATAGGGATCATCATCCCAGAAGATAAACAGTAGAACCAAAATCCCCCGACCCTAGCAGCAGCAGGGGGAGCGCGTCAGAGGAAAAGGGGTATTTCCTCCCGGACCTCGTGCAGTACACTACAGCTACAACTACAACTACAGCTGCAATTACAGCCACAACTACAGCTGCACTACATTCCACAACACTACACTACACTAATTAAATTACATTACGGTACATTTTATTGCATCACATCACATCACATCACATTACATTACATTGCGCTACAACTGCAACTGCAACTACAACTATAGCTACCACTGCATTGCACTCCTCTACGCTACACTACAACTACACTACTTAACACTACACTACATTAGACTACACCACACTACATCAGACAACAGTGCACAACCCTACAGTACACTACACTACACTAGCTACACCACACCACAACTACAAGTGCAACAACACTACACTAATTGCACTACATTGCAACTACAACTCCACTACGCTACAATACAACTACAACTACAACTGCACTACACCACACCATTGCAACCACTCCAAAAACACACGGCTCCAACCACCTTTCGGTCCATCAGTGGATTCGCTCTGCCATCCGTGATGCACAACAACCAACCTCTCCTATAGGCTTCCTATTTTTGAAACTTCCGCCACCGCCTTGTGCGGCACTACTGGTATAATCAATATAATAATCTCATATCTACAACACATTGGAAGCCACCAAGCGGCAACGCGATTTGCGGCGGATGATTGGACCCACTCAGCCACCCAGTAATCCTCCGCCATAGTCAGTTTTGGATAATCTATAAAACTACAGCAATTATAAAAAAAACTAACAGATCAACCTGATATATAAGTGTATAAATATAGGTATAAATATATATATATAATACTGTTTATATATAGCTATATATCTATATATACATATGTTCCAAGTTTCCTTTTTTTCTATCGAAACCCTGGGCACCGCAATTCTCCGCGCGCGTCCAAATCCAATCATCCATGAAGCAGATTCAATCGTCGCTTCATTTGAAATTTGACACATTTTTTCAGAATGGGGGATGGCCCTTAAGTTCCATTTGTCGAAAGGTTCCCCATGAAGGATGACCCCCAAGTCAACGAATTTCAACAATACTAAATATATAATAAGCTTCCCCAACTCCACATCAGGACTCGTTTTCACATGTGCTGTCAGGCTCAAGCAGCATCTTTGGCTGCGTTCTGCACCTTGGCAAGGGCCAAAATCTAACCCAGTCCGGGCTGATGATAGCTTCGTCAGTTCTGAAAAGTTTGCACCCGCTTTGGATCACGAGCTCGGTATCAAAAGCAAGATAGTACTGCTTACCGGCTCGCGTTCCCGCGAGCTTTTTCCCCCCTACAGCATCGTCCCATGGGTGTGAGGCAATGAAGAAATTGTGTGCCCTGCCTGTCCTCTCAGCTTTTTTGTAACACCTCTTGGCGCGCTCCTCGGTTCTTGCAGTGACATGACCACCCGGTTGGGTGCTCAAGCTCAAAAAATGGAAGCATGGAAGGGGAAAAGGAAAATATATCGATATAGATGAATAAATAGATAAATAGATAAATAAATAATAAATAATTCAATAAATAAATCAATATAATAAATATAAATGAATAAATCATATATATATAGATATAACTTATATAGCTGTATTTTCTGAGGATAAAGTGGACTATCCCCGGTAGGAAACCAAGTCTATCTTATTTGGCGGGATACCATGGGCAACTTTCAACTTCAAGTTCTCTTGTCGCATCAGCCGAGGGACGTTGGCTGCCAGGACAGACAAGCCTGTTGTCCTCGTCTGCCATCCGATTCCTCAGGACAACAGCATGGTTGTCTGGCGCTGTCCATGGATGAGATCGAAGACAGGATCCACAGAGGGTTGCAACATGTTAAAACCATAGCCACTGGTAGGGTCTTGAGATTAATTTGTGAAACGTCAAACACATATTATCTCTCTCTCTCTATCATGTCTTCAAATCCATGGGTATCAACTCATCAGTATTTGTGAATTTCAGTGATCGTCCTTGCAACGTGCTCCTTGTGTGAAGCGGACTGGATCCCAAAAACACAAGCGCCATGGCTTCATGTGGCCATGGTCCAACACTTGAATGGGGGCGTGCCAATGTGTGGGAAATAGATCAGCCACGCAGGTTGCCGCAGCCAAGCATCCGTGGCTATATTTTTCAGCTGCTGCCAGTAGCAGCTTGCCCAGCCCGCCATTCATATGGCCTTCGTTGACCTTGGCGGGAAGACTGCTATAAACTAGCAACCAGTGTACGGAAACAATCTAAGAAAATGCAAACTATCGTTATTTGCCCGACCCTATGTCCCGACACCATGTTACATCATGTGGTCAGTTTATGCAAAATTTGATGCATTTTCCCTGGGATTTATATCTCAAACTCCTCCAAAATTTAACCATGAGTAAGTGAAGTTGCACAAAAAAGTAGGGGAAAAATTGAGGGAAATGGGGTGAAATATGGTGAAATGTTCCCCACCGAACTGCATTCTTGGCCACTTAGTCTAACCGACCCCTGCCCCGATGACCAACCCCACATTGTCCAGGAAGAGTCGGGGTCGGTTAGACTAAGTGCCCCGTTTAGGTGGTGATTTGGGCACTTACTCTAACCGACCCCATCTGACCCTTAGAAATTGGGGAAATCAGGAAAAATCACCAAATTTGATGGAAATAGTGGACCTACCAATGCAACACTTGGATGCATAGAGCCAAAACTTGGGGAAATGTGGGGAGTTAATTGATAGCTCGCATTACAACGAACATTCCAAATTATGCATCATGTTGGGAAGCCAACATTATCAAGGTAAACCAGTTAAAACCATCAAAATGCCAAAATGGAACACATAGGGGTCAGCTCGATAGGGTCAGTTAGAAAAGTCTCAGAAACAAACGTCCGAGCAGCTTTGAGCTGGGCGATGTAGAGTTCTTTCTCTTTTTTCCTGTAATTTGCCTTAGGAACCAGCATGGGCACGTTGGAGAGATCAAGTGCATACACATGCGTATCACAAAAAAACTTAAACAATAAAACATAAAATAAAATAAAATATGTGAATGGGTTCAGGTATTGTAGAAGTCCGTGTAATTGACCGATCATGAAGCTGCAAAAATGTGCCTCAATCAGCACTGGGTGCGTCCAAGAGGCATGGATGTAGCCAGCACCGCCTGCCCGAAGAGTTCCAGGGGAGTCACTATACCCCAAAGCTCTTCGGGGCCGAATGACGACTACAATGGCATCAATGACATCGATGCTGCTGGCACCAGGTCCTTTGTGATTCTATACGCTTCAGTGCTTACTTGTTTTGTGATATTTCTTCCCTACCATCATCTGAGGAATGCCAAGAAACCGGAATAGTTTCACATGTGCCACTACGGAATTTGCCACAAAAGGTGGACATGGAAATTAATTCGTCAAACTATAGCAATAACAACAACACCAGCAACACCAGCACCAGCACCCCAGCACCCCAGCACCCCAGCACACCAGCAGCAGCAGCAACAACAACAGCAACAACAACAACAACAACAACAACAACCAACAACCAACAACCAACAACAACCAACAACAACCAACAACAACCAACAACAACCAACAACAACCAACAACAACCAACAACAACCAACAACAACAACAATCAACTAAACAAAAAACCAGACATACAACAACAAGCCAACAACAACAACAACAACAACCGCGCATAAAGACAATAACTAACCAAGCACCAACCCGCACATCGCACAGCACCAAACACGCAGACGACAAACAACAGAACAACAAATCACGCAGAGTAAGATCACCAAAAACACCAACAAAACCACAACACAAACACAACACCCGACACCAACAACACAACAGACAACAACACCAGCAACAAGAATACGAAACAGCAATCACAACACCAAACCCCAACACCAACACCAAACCAAAAACAACCAAAAACAACCAACAACAACCAACAACAACCAACAACAACCAACAACAACCA